ATTCAACTCCTGCCACAGAAATGCCAGACCCTGATTTATCTGCAGTTTATGGAACGGTTTCAACTCCAGCTTCTGCCTCCTATAAAAACTGTGAGGGTGGCTCTGCAGCACATCCCAGCTCCTCCAGGCTTCAGCCGGGCTGGGCTGAGAGTGTTTCTCAACCTGTGGCCACGAGCAGCATGCCAGACAGCAGAAGATGAGCTTTCAAATGGTTGAAAACTCAATTTTGGTAACAGAAAATGTGAATAAACCTCCAGCAAGGAGGTGAGCAAATCAAGGAGCTGCTATATAAATAAGTAAATATTCCAAATAAGTTCAAAGCACAGCCAAGCTTTGAAACCTCTGGGGCTGACAGAGCACAAGGTGACAGTTTGGTTATAAAAGGTTGAGAAATGCTGCTCTGAGACACCCCCAGACTGTGCCTCTGGCTGGGCCTGTACCCAGGGACTGCTGGAAACGCTGCAGCCTCTGTGATGTGCAGCTCCCACTGACCCTGCTGCCCTGGGCATGCAGGATCCTGAGGGGCAAAGCCTGGATGGAGAACCTGAGTCAGCCCTGGCTGGATTTCACCCGAAGGGATGGACATCCAAAGCCAAGAACCCCAAGGGGGTTCCTGCAAGCTGGAACTCCCATTCTCAGCACTCTGGGAGGGCCCTGGAGCAGCTCCTCAGGGCCAGCCCCAGGACAGAAACAGCTGCTGTGAGAACAAGGACATGGGGCAGCTCTGTGTGGCCCTGAGGGGAGACTTCCAATCCCATCCCATCCCATCCCATCCCATCCCATCCCATCCAATCCAATCCAATCCCATCCCATCCAATCCAATCCAATCCAATCCAATCCAATCCAATCCAATCCAATCCAATCCAATCCAATCCAATCCCAGTCTCCAGCTCTGGTGGCACAGAACAGCTCTGGAAGCCCCTCAGGTGGGAGCTCACCTCACCTGTGTGGGACACACAGAATCCCTTTGGGTCTCCAAGAGCTTTTAGGGCAGCAAACCCGTGTGGGTGTGTGCAAGGAGTGCTTTCCTGCTCCCTTTCCCACCTGAGAGGGTTCAGCAGGTTCTTTTTCGCGTTTCTGTGAAATGATTTGTGGATTGCTGTGCAATCAGTGGCTCTGCAAGGCCGTGTTTTGGCAGGGGCTGGCCCGTCCTCGGGCTCACTCTGAGCTCTATTTTGTATTTTGCTGGTTCCTCGCTGGGCACGGGTGCTGTTCTCCAGCAGGATGAGCAGGGAGATGAGGAGCAGAGCTCTTAAATCTCTGCAGCCACTTCCTTGAGCACCCACTGGCTGCTGCCTGAGTGGGATTTCCTGAGGCACTCACAGGCCTGGAGTGTTTAAACAACTGACAGGAACAAAAGCTCTTAAGAAATGCAGAGATCTCGATTTTCCAGCCCTGCTCTCTGCTGTTGGGCCATTGCCTCTCACCACACGTACCTACAATCCTGCTGACAGAGAAGCAGACGTGTATTTGCATGTGTTTGCATAAATTTTCATGTATCTGAGCACAGGCCAGCAAAAGCCTGTGCTGTCTCACTTGGAAGGATGTTACAATGAGCCCTGAACGCAGTGAGAACGCTATCAGGGAGTTAGTATCGTGTGTCAAGGCAAAATGATGGATAAAATATCAATTTCTGGAACCTGTGGCAGCAGAACTGTCAAACTGTGAGCAGCACGTAAAATGTAAAAAGCTTTTTGCCACCTAGAAATGTCTGTGAGGTGACTGAAGTCCTTTGGCAGTTAAAAAATACAGGAGCTTTCTTTCCTCGAGTGGCTTTTCTCTTTATTATGTCATCTCTTGGGTGTTTCATACAAAGCCGTGTCAATGGGAGTCTGGAATCATCACCATCTCCAGAGTATCAGTGAAAATATCCTTTTAGGGGAGGAATTAAAGCATCCCCCTGGCAGCTGGTGCTGCTGGGAGCTGATGGAGGAGGTTTGCAGTGGGAAGAGCCCATGGCAGCCCCAGGATTGCTCCTCTCTGTGCTCAGCTTCCCAAAGCTCAGCCTGCACAGGCCTGCTCTGGAAGCAGCCACAATCCACAAGCTGCTCCTGTTGGCTTTGGACTGGAGCCACCAGACTGTTGGAAGCTGCTGCTTCCCCCTGTCTGTAAAACAATTTTCCCTTTCCCAACTCCTGGCCTGGCTGTGAAGAAAATCACTTTTAAATCTCAAACCTGTCCCGAGTGTCTTCTCTACCGGGGTGAATTTCACTGATTTAAGCAGTTCACAGCTCACCCCTCAATTTTTTGTTGCTCTTTCAGGGGAAATGTAAAGCTCAGCCTTGCTGAGCCTTCTCAAAGCTTAGCCTTGCTGGCAGTGTGTGATATCCCTTTATTTGCACAGTTTATCTCTTCCTACCTGTGGCTTTGGATAAGTTGTTAATAACAAAGGCTCGTTATCACCAAACAAACGTTCTGAAGTGGCACCACAGCAAAGCTGTCAGTCGGTTGGCAAGTGAAACTTTTAGATCAAATTCTCGGGTCGAGAAGCTGAGAATAAGAACCTTTTCTTTTCTCTGTAAGTGTGGGTGACTTCTGGAGTTATTCATGGCTTTGTAAGCAGGAGATGATCCTCGGGTTTGTGTTTATAGAGGCAGCCAGGGCTTCACCTGGCAGGGACTGATGAAATGCCAGCCTTTCAGTAGAGCCAGCTCTGGTTTAGGTATTTCCTTTAACTCCTTTTTACTTTTGGGAGGGATAAAGGAGGGAAATAATACATTTCTCACAGCCAGAAAACACACAATCAACCTTTGAATGGCTCGTCTGTTGTGTTTTTTCCCTTTCTGTGTCAACAAGGCCTTGTGTCAACAGCCAGCAAGCTTCTACTTGTCCTGAGTGTGTCCCTGGGGCTGTTGACAGCAAGGTGGGGACAGCATCTCAAACCTGTTTGCAGTCTGGCACTGGGGGGATTGCAAAACCACTGGAGAAGGAGCAGCAGGGAAAGAGGAAGAAGCTGCAAGGGATGGAAAAGGTGCTGCTTGTGTGATGGAAGCTGAAAAAACCTGGAGGTTTTGGTGCAGTAGGAACATTTTGCTGGAGATATCTTGGTGTCCTCCACTGAGGAGGGATTTTTTTGCCTGGATCAGGCACCATCCAAGGATAAGGATGGGATTTAGGGTGCTTTTAGTGCTGATGGTGCTAAGTGGCTGTGCCCAGCAGTGGGATCAGGGATGGGCACAGCCACAGCCCTTGCACAGAGCAGTCCTGGGGAGGATCCGCACCACGAGAGATTGATAAGTGTGCAATCTGCCAATAACCTGTCAGAATTACACATCCACCTCAGCTGCAGGTCAGAGATATCTTATCAGACTCCGACACTTGCCCTCCTTGCTGTGCACACTTAGGCTGCCCCTGGGAGATGTTACTGAGTGTTCTTAAACCCTTTTTTATCATTTCATGGTGCCCTTTCACTCCCTGAGAGCATCTCCCTGGCTCTGCTAAGCTCAGGTCAACCTTGCCAAGCCATGGGGAGGATGTGGGCACCCCATTTCCTTTAAAAGCCTCCAATTTCTTACCTCAGCCTTATTTTCTGGCTTTTTCTTGTTGCTGATAAGGGGTTCTGATTTGTGGCTCGAGGTGTGCCCACTCCTGAGGCAGCAGGCAGGAGTAGCTGGCACTGGGTGAGCTCTGGGGAAGAATTTCAGCTCTTCAGGGCCCCAAAATCACTCAGGGGCTGAAGCAGCTGCCAGCACCACTGAAATGACACTTGGTGGGGTGTCCCTGCACAGGGTGATCACACCTTTAACTGCTGCAAAGTTACAGCTCTTTATAATTTATATAATAATAATAATAGATACATTTTGCTGTGACCTCATGCATTTATCACTTGAGCCAATGCTGAGATTAATCGGGGGAGAAGGGGAGATATTATTAGAATATTTTTAAAGCATGTTTTGGTAAAAAAAACCCTCATAACTTACATAAGGTAAAGGAACTGGAAAGGTTTTCAGTTCAGTGTGCAAGTGTCTGGATGAGGTGAGCAAACTGCTGGATAGAATTCCTATTTCTCTTCACAGGTGTAGTTATTTTCTCTTTTTTGTTGAATTCAATATGGAGAGATGCTTCTTTCTTTTTCCCAGTCTGGGTGCTCAGCTGAGAAATTGAGTTTGCCTCACCAAGAGGAGGCAAGACAAACCTAAGAAAGGTTTGAGTTTATGCAAATGCAGGAAAATCCTCAGGTATTACAACTTTCCTATTATCTACCTTTTAAAAAATTAAATAATTTAGCTCCTGTTCAGCTGATTATGCTGAAAATCTTTTATCAACAGCCCAAACTTGATCAAGGGCTGTCAAACTACATCAGCCTCTCACTGAGATTGCCTCCACAGGGAAGCTGGTGCTGAGCAGCAGCCAGAGAAGTTTGGCTCTGGATTTTACCTCTGAGGAGCCATGGGCTAAACCCTGCTGGGGCAAACAGCTTTCATTTTCTGCCAGAACCACTATCACCAGGGAAGCCTGGGCTGCAGCAGAGGGTGAGGAGCTGCAGATTCAGCTCAGAGCTGGGTGATGCACAGCGTTCTCTGGGAAAAGCTGGATTAAATATGGACCTTTTATCTGCTGGAAGGGGTGAATGAGAGCTTTCATGTCATGGAATAGGCTGCTCAAAATCTCAGCCTCACCTCTGTGAGAGCAGGGTCAGCAGCAGAAGAGAAAAGCACTGACCTTTAGCACGTGAAAAATGACCAGGCTTCAGCATTTGCACCAAATGATTTATTTGTATCAAAAAGAGCTGGTTTAATGACAAGTGTTTGATAAGGCAGCTTCAGATTTATTTTAAAAAACAGCAACAATGAAAAAATAAACAGGGAAAAAACCCCACCAAACCACCACACCACCAACAAAACACCCCTGACCGTAGATCAATGTAGTGACAGCATCTTGTAAAAAATGTGTGAGTAGTGAAGAATAAACTGGACTGTGTTAGGCAGCACAACTTTGCATAGTTCATGGGCAATTTAATCTGATTTGGATAGAGTGGATGTGTGAAACCGCAGCCCCCATTAGCTGTAGCAAATGTCACAGCTCCTGTCCCTCCTGAAGAAGTCCTCGGGCACGGCCAGGGGTGGCAGGAATTCCACGCAGTCCGTGCTGGGGCAGGGGAAGCACTGCGGGCCCCGGCTGTCCCTGCTCTGCGAGCCACAGGCTGTGCAGCAGCAGGCAGGGCTGGGCAAGGGACACGGGGGGTGGCAGGGCCACTCCTCCATGGGACAGCTGTAGGGTGGGCTGGGGGTCAGCGGGGTGAGGGGAGAGAGCTGAGGGGGAGAGCAGCTGGAGTTCCACGGGCTGGGCAGGTCGGCTGAGCTGGGAGAGCTGGCAGCCTGGAGTTGGAGAGAGAGAGAAAAAAAGAGAAAAAAAGGAGATTTCAGGGGAATGTGGCCAGCAGCCAGAATTCCTGAGCTGTTGCCTTTCTCATCTGGCTGCCCAGGGAGATCCTGGAGGTCCAAACCCAAAGGCAGTTTCTGTTAGTAGGGACAATCCCTGCCCAGGGAGATCCTGGAGGTCCAAACCCAAAGGCAGTTTCTGTTAGTAGGGACAATCCCTGCCCAGGGAGATCCTGGAGGTCCAAACCCAAAGGCAGTTTCTGTTAGTAGGGACAATCCCTGCCCAGGGAGATCCTGGAGGTCCAAACCCAAAGGCAGTTTCTGTTAGTAGGGACAATCCCTGCCCAGGGAGATCCTGGAGGTCCAAACCCAAAGGCAGTTTCTGTTAGTAGGGACAATCCCTGCCCAGGGAGATCCTGGAGGTCCAAACCCAAAGGCAGTTTCTGTTAGTAGGGACAATCCCTGCCCAGGGAGATCCTGGAGGTCCAAACCCAAAGGCAGTTTCTGTTAGTAGGGACAATCCCTGCCCAGGGAGATCCTGGAGGTCCAAACCCAAAGGCAGTTTCTGTTAGTAGGGACAATCCCTGCCCAGGGAGATCCTGGAGGTCCAAACCCAAAGGCAGTTTCTGTTAGTAGGGACAACCCCGACCAGGAGCTGTGCTGCTATTTGCACAAAATCTACAGGGCCTCTAGAAGGGACATTCCTCATCCTGCAGCCTCTCCCAGCTTATTTGGGGCTCTCCATGGGAAAGCATTCAAAGCCCATGAGCATCCCAGGCTCCTGAAAGCAGCCAGATTCCCTCATTGCTGCTGGAGGTGACTCCCTCCCCCCTTGGGGACAGCTGTGGCTGCGCCCCTGGTCCCAAAGCTCACCAGGCCCTGGTTGAAGCAGAGCTGGACTGGCTGGAAGGTGTCTGGGCTGTAGTGTGGGGATGGCTGGAAGGCACTGAAGGCTGGCTCAGAGGGTGCATCCGACTGCAGGCAGGAATCTATCAGCTGCTCCAGGTATCCGGGGCTTTCCTCACAGGAGAGGCAGCTGGAAAACTGCCAGGATGGGCAGCAGCTGGGCACAGGAGGGATGGGCTCTGCTTCAAAAGGTTCTAGGAGAGAAAGGAAAGCAGACAGCAGCAAATGAATCAGTGTTTATCTTCACAAAGGGCAGGATTCAGTGCTCTCCTATGCTCAGTAACCCTGTGCATTTAGACATTAAAACAGGCCTTTCAAGGGCAAGGTGGATTTTGTAGGAAAGCAGAAACCACGAGGGAGATGCTCAAAGGCATGTGGCTAACTCAGGGAATGCAGCCCTCTCAGATATAAAGCTCTTTCACTGCTGGAAACTCTTCAGGCCCCAGGCATTTTGGACAGGGATCAGCTGGAAATTCCCTCCCACTCTTGACCCTCTGACCTCCCTTCTGTGCCCTGTTTGCAGCCCCAGAAGGTGCCAGGCAGTGATTTGTTCTTCCCAGCCTGGCAGAGGTGCCTTTGCCTCATCTCCAGACCCAAGGCAGCTACACCTGCAGGAAAAATGGGATAACAGGAGGATAATTTGCTTTTTTATCCCCCAAACAGCCAGACAGGAGACAAACTTCTGAGCAGAATAAATGGAGCAATGCAGGACTGATGTGGCATCGTGACCATGTAGTGTTACTGGCCAAAGGGTGAGTTCCTGGAAAGCTCACAGCAGATCTGGCTTTTCAGAATTATTATCTTTACACACCAAACTCAAACATGGTTTAAGCCCTGTCCATGTGAAGGGCACAGGTCTGAAATGCACATTGCAGGGTCAAAGGTGGCTGTGGGGAGTGAGAAACACCCAAAATACATAAACTGATGGAGACTTTCCAGCCTGAAAAGGCTTTGGCATGTCAGCTTTGGTGTGTCTCACGTTTCTTTATTAACATAAGCAAATGGATTCCCAGCTATCGATGATTTAACAATTTCCTTGTCCATGCAATGTGTGCACTCACACCTGCCCAGCCTTTCCTCTGTGCTGGGGATAATTGAAGGATCTGTGAGCCCACAGTGCCCCTCCCCTCACCCCTTCCCCCTTTTCCTTGGATATTCACAGGCAGGAGGAGGAAACTCTTGGTGGTGTTGAAAATCTGGTATTTCTCTCACTCCTGTGGATGCTGGCAGGAGAGGGAGGAGAGAACAGAACCCAGCCAGGGGCTCCAGGGCACTCTGACCCTCAGTGGCCCCACAGCCTGGGGAAGGCGATGTTATTCCCTCGGGATGAGCATCCCTTCCCAAGGGGATGCAATTCCCTGCTGTGGGAAGCTCAGAAAGGAGAGCCCCGTGCGCTCTCAGCTCCTCATCTGCATCCCCCGGGCTCCCTGCGGGTGCTGATTGGCCGCACCGCGGGTGCTGCCGGCCTCAAAGAAGGGCTGGGAAGGCTCGGGGCTGTGGGAAAAATTGGGAATGGGGCGGGAAGGGCCGTGTAGATGGGCTTTGTACCAACCTGGGTGAGGCGGAGACACAGACTCTGCAAACTGGATGCTGCTGCTGCTGCTGCTGCTGCTGTCCCAAGGAACCTGAGCAAGGAGAAGGGAAGGAGAGAAGCTGTGGCACAGAGCAAGGTGAGTCTGCATTTCAGAGAAAACTCTTTAAATAAACCTTATTTCCCTCCTAACTGTGGCTGGGAAAACCTCCCTGGCATCAGATGAACATTGCACAACACGATTTTTGCTGGTCGCAGCACCCACCCCGGGGTGAAGCCCCTGAATCAGCTCCGTGCTGAGGGGCTCTTTTTGCTGCATTCCCGATTCTACAGAGCTGCCTCTGAAACTAATGTGTGTTAATTTCCAGGTGCGTCAACCTGGAAATTCCACGGTGAATTCAACCGTGAAGGGAATCCCAAGGAATTCGTAGGGATGGATATTACTGGGAATGAGTAATTAACTAAAGACCACCGCAGGTGTCCCATCAGACTGGATTGATGTCGTTTGAGAAGCAGCTCTGGCAGTGATCCTTGAAAAGGGACAGCTTCGTTTTTTAAGGAATGCTGGAAGCTGAAGCAAGACAGATCAACCACTTCTAGGAACTTGACCTGCTGGAAGGAAGAAATCCACCCCAAAAGCAACAGGATGTTGGCTGCTTGGGGGCCAGGATTTTACTCTGCAAGTACAAATACTGGCGTGGGTTTTCCCCTTAGATTTAATTCATACAGCCCTCCTCTTAATATCCTTTATTCAAGATGCTCTCGAGTGAGCAGCTCATTTCCCTGGCAACAACTTCCTGGCACATCCCGTGCATTTAATTCCTTAAACAGTGGCTCTTCTGGGCTGAGGGTGCCTTTTGTCCCTGGTGCAGACGTGACAAGGCAGAGATGGAGTCCCCAGGTTGAGCTTTTCTCAGCACACATCCTGCCAGCCCAAAGCCTCGGGGCTTTTGGGGCGGGCCGTACCTTGTGCAGGTCACCGAGGTGACTTCCCTCACCGCCACTTTTCACTTTTTCCTGTGTGGGCACCACAGGGGTTGTGTCAAGTGCTGGTGGGAAGTGAAAACCGGTTCCACGCAGCCCTGGGACACCTGGCTGTGATGAAGAGGCTGCTGCTGTTGGGGCTGCAGGGGAGCAGTGACCCAGCATTTCCAAAACCAGACAATTCTCTTCACCCAGACCTCTCTGCCCATGGATCTCAGGCTGATTTTCGTGCAAAGTGCAGAAGCTGAAATCTGAAAGGCTTCAAGAGCTGCGGTGTCATGAACCAGGAAGAAATAATGATTTGCCAAGCTCTTTATGCAAATCCCCTGAGTGGCTGGAGCTGGAGGAATCCTACAAAGGCTGGAAGAGGGAATGAGAGGGAATGTGCACGTGTGTGTGCACACAGAGCTCCAGCCCCTCCTCCAGAAGGGATGGGGCTGCCCAGGTGAGCCTTCCATCCCGGAGAGAGTGACTTTTCTGGAGCAGCAGCTTTGTTTTTTCCATGTATTCCTCAGATTCTCACTCCTTTAGGTCACTGCTGCAGCTACTCTGACTAAATGTTCCTTTCCCCCATCCTCACCAGCCTGTTACACTCAGATTTTGGCCCAGAGATAACAATCCTGGCAAAAAAAACCCCTAAAATATTAAAAGAGAAGGTACAAAGCCAACACCACAATACTTTTACTCACTGCTGAACCAGTGGCTGCTTGTCGTGCTCTCCGCTGCTGCAGCAACTCCTTGACTGTGATCTTCACCCTCACACCTTGGTACACCTTGGGCTTTCCTGAAAGAATTTGTGGAAAAACACTTTGCAAGGAGGGAGAATCTCATAGCAAACAGCAAATCCAGCAGGTTTTCAGGTGTGCTCTATGTGGAGAACAGTTTTAGACTTAACATGACTAATTTTTTAGTCTCTGTTTGCAGTCACACTCACAGCCTTCTTTAACACCTGCTAGTCCAGCTTGGGACAAGCAGACACTCATGAAAATCTTGCTGTTGATAATATTTAAAAACCACATGTTTTTTCTTATCTATCTCCTTCTTCCCCTGCCCCCCTTCCAGCTTTCCCAATACCAAGCTCCATCTGGTGCTGCTGTTGGATTCATTTAAATTCCTGACATATTTGCCTCTCTCAGGACCTGAAAATAAATGTGGGAAGCGTTTCATCTGGCAGATGAAGCCCAGGAATAAAACAATGGAAATATGTGGGTGGTTATTCAGAGAGCTCAACAAAACACCAATAAAATGACTGCTTTCTTGCAAAGCCTAGATTATCTCTTTATTCTGCTCATGTACACCCCTATTTATTTCAAACAAGAATTGAGGGTGTGTTTAATCCAGCCAAAACCAGCCAGCAATCACCAGTCACTACCTAATGAGGGATTTTTAGGACAGGAAATGATAAAGAATTTACTTCTTCTGAAAAACCACTTTCACTTGTTGCACTCATGGTAAAACACTCAGCTCCTCTGGCAGTTTCTGTCCTAACTTTCTGCTGGTGTTTTAACTGAAATCACACAATAAAAGGAAACACACCCAGACTGCTCTCTACACTCAAAAAATGCCAGAGCAGGGAGCAGACAGCCCCAAAGGAGGCACCAAAAATAAACTCCCAGCAGGAGAACAGCACTGCCCGAGCTAAACCTGGCCTTCCAGTGCCACCTCTGGGCACGGAACACCTTCTCCAAGGCAGCTGCACAGTGCCAGGAGATCCTGGCACAGAAACAACGCTGGGTTTGCAGGTTCTGCCCCCAGGGCCGGGGAATCCTGCACTGCAGGCACTGTCCTCTTGTGCTGTAACCTCTGGCAGCCCTCTCAGTGCCCCCGGGGTGCTCCGGGGGAGGACGAGCTGGGACAGGCACCCGGGGCCCTCCAGAGATGTGACAGGGCTGCCTTCAGGGCACTTTGCTGAGCTGGGCTCAGCTGGGGATTATTCATCTCGTGGTTTGTGTTTTGTTTCTGTTCAACAAGCTGGGGAAAATGAGGGGAGGGAAGGGTGGGATTTAAGGAGAACACCCCGGTTACCAGAGCTCCCTGCAGCCAGGGAGGGCTCTGAGGTAGCAGGGCCAAGGGTAGGATGGTGAGGGTGGGCAGGGAGCAGAATGATGGGGCTGGGGGCAAGGACAGGGTGGGCACAGGGTGGGCAGGGCAGGTGGAGAATCAGGAGCAGGGTGACAGGGACAGGCTGGGGGTCAAGGGCAGGGTGATGGATTTGGGACTCAGGGGGCAAGGTGATGGACTGGGGGTCAGGGAGGAGGGTGGCCAGGGTGGGTTGCCCACTCAAGGGGCAGAGTGATGATTCTGAGGGTCAGAGAGCAGGGTGATGGAGCTGGGGGTCCAGGGGCACAGTCATGGTGCTGAGCATGGAGGGAAAGGCTGCTGAGGGTGGGCTGGGAGTAGGGTGACGAGGACAGGGGGTGGACTCGGGGTCGGGGAGCAGGGTTGGGATTCAGGGGCAGCGTGGCCGGGGCGGAGTATGCGAGGAGGGCACAGAGAGATGCAGGGAGGGCAGAGATGCAGAGAGAGCACACAGAGATGCGGGGAGGGCACAGATGCAGAGAGAGCACACAGAGATGCGGGGAGGGCACAGAAGTGCGGGGTGGGCACACAGGGATGCAGGGAGGGCACAGATGCAGAGAGAGCACACAGAGATGCAGGGAGGGCACAGATGCAGAGAAGGCACCCAGAGGCACGGGGAGGGCACACAGATGTGCGGGATCCCCTGTGCCCCGGCGGCTGGGAGTGGTAGCACAGCCCCCCGGGGCAGAAGCCCCGCTCGGTGCCCGGCGGTGCCCGCGGAGCCCCTTCCCGAGCCGGCCGCGCTGGCACCCGGCGGGCAGCAGCCGATCCTTCCGTGCCTCCTCCCTCCCTCCTCCCCGCCCTCCCCGCTCCCTCCTGCCTTGGCAGGCGGCATCGCCTCGCTGGCGAAGTGACCCCGGCGAACCCCGAAACGGCCCCAAAGCGGGGTGCGGGGGCCGGCGGGGGGTCGGAGCGGGGCTTACCGGACATGCCGAGCCGGAGCGGGCAGCACCTCGCCAGGTGCCCGGTGCAGCAGCAGAGGTGGCCCTTGCCCCGGCCCCACAAGCTGGCCAAGGGGGCAAGAGGAGTCAGGCTTGAAATTTGGGGGTGAAGGGACCTGCCTGCCTGGTGGTAATGGCAGGTGGATCCCGACAATATTATTGTTTTATCCCTACGGGTATAAGTTTGAGTTTTTCTCTCCTAATGCCAAGTATTTAAAACCTCTAGAAACCAATGATTTGACAATCAATGATTGCGCGATACTTTCAATTTGAATATTCAAAGGCTCCACAAAATGGGCTATCTTTTTGTGAAACCGAGCACATCCCCATCTAGCAGAGGGTCTGGGGGAATAGGATTTGGTGGGGTCACCCTCCCCACCCTTTGCTTTTGGGACATTTGCAGGGTTTTATCCATCTTTCCCTGAATGCAGCAGATGCCTCCAAAGCAGCTCAGTGTTTTCCCCTCAGATGCACAGGCTGGGCTCCAGCCCTCTCATATTTCATTTGCTACCTGCAGTGTGCACTCTGCAAGGGGCCGACTTGCTTTTTGCACATTTTTTCATGTTTTAAGGCCAAATTCTGAGGTTTTGGGGCCAAAATGGCAGCGGGCAGGTGTGGCCTAACAAAGAGGCTGCCCTGGGCACCCAGGTGGTTGAAGTTACCTGAGCCCCACTTCTCCCCACAGCATTCCCTCCCTCTGCCTGGATGCTGGGCTCACACTGGAGTTTATTTGTGCTTTCCCCCAGTTCAGGCCGTTTGCCTGTGCTGTACAAATCGGCCTTTTCCTCACAAGCCTCAGTGCTGCCTGCCCTGGCAGCTGAAGCTGTGGGGTTCAGCGTGTGGCTCAGACTTTTGGGATGGCCATCCCTTCCCAGCAAAGCTGGAACTGGGTTTTTAGGCTGCCTTTAAGCTTTTCCCTGAGGACCACAGCCTCAGCCACAGGCAGGGAGTGAGGCAGAGAACAGGCCAGGCTGTTAATCATCTACCAGCAGCTCAGGCTGGCTGTCGTCACGGCTGAATCTTTTTTTTTTTTTCCCTTTAAGTTGAACAAATAACACTTGATTTCTGTGGAGAGTGAGGCCATTCCTGGCTCTGAAATGTGCCCCTGCAGCTCCTGGTAGGCCAAGCCTTGCCTGGGACAGCTTTATAGGGACACAACCCACCAGGAGAGGAGCCCACCTGCTCCAAGCACAAAGGAATGTGCTCTACAGGGAGGGGAGGGGGGGTCTCACTGAGGAATTTGGGATCTGAAACCCTTCCCTTACTGGGGCTGCACCCTCCTGTGGGTGGGTGCAGGCTGCAGGGAGCTGGCGTGGTGATTGTTTACCCCTGTAAGCAGAGAGCAGAGCCTGCAGGCTGCCCAGCTCCAGTCCTGGGGGAGCTGGATGCCCTCAGGAACCACAAGGCAGCAGAGTTCTGGCTGTTCCTGGGCTTCAGAGCACTTCCAGGCTGAGGAAAGTGTGTGCAGTGGTGTCAGCTGTGGAGTGGAAAAGGCTCGAGCTGGGTTCAGGTTTGGGGGGCAGCAGGGCTGGGTGTGGGCCAGGAGAGCTGCACACACCTGAGGTGAGGGGGAACAGCTCAGGTTTGGGGCCAGGAGAGCTGCACACACCCTGAGGTGAGGGGGGACAGCTCAGGTTTGGGGCCAGGAGAGCTGCACACACCCTGAGGTGAGGGGGAACAGCTCAGGTTTGGGGGAAGGAGAGGCACACACCCTGAGGTGAGGGGAGACAGCTCAGGTTTGGGGCCAGGAGAGGCACACACCCTGAGGTGAGGGGAGACAGCTCAGGTTTGGGGGAAGGAGAGGCACACACCCTGAGGTGAGGGGGGACAGCTCTGGCTGGGCAGGACCACCCCTGGAGGCTCCACAGCTGCCACTCGTGGGAGTGGAAGGTGCTGGGAAAGCTTGAAATGCCCCCGGGTTTGAGGAGAAAAGGCAAGGAGGGATTTAAGCGCCTCATCCCCACACGTGCCCTGGCGCTGGCATGCTCCAGAGCCTCCTGCTGCTGCTGTGGGTGCCAGGCTGGGGGGAGAGCTGTGCCAAAGGGGGTGAACCCTCGGTGGGACAGAGCAGGATGTGCTGCTCCGGGAGGGCTCCACGGCGCTGTTCGTGTGTGCAGAGCTACCTCTAGTGGCCACAGGGCTGGCTACCGGTGCCATTGGCACTGCCAACCGACCTGGATGTCCCCAGGGCTGGCTACCGGGGCCACTGGCACTGCCAGCCCACCTGGATGTCCCCAGGGCTGGCTACCGGGGCCACTGGCACTGCCAGCCCACCTGGATGTCCCCAGGGCTGGCTACCGGGGCCACTGGCACTGCCAGCCCACCTGGATGTCCCCAGGGCTGGCTACCGGTGCCACTGGCACTGCCAGCCCACCTGGATGTCCCCAGGGCCGGCTACCGGGGCCACTGGCACTGCCAGCCCCCCTGGATGTCCCCAGGGCTGGCTACTGGTGCCATTGGCACTGCCAGCCCACCTGGGTGCCCACAGGCTGGCTACTGGTGCAATTGGCACTGCCAGCCCACGTGGATGTCCCCAGAGCAGCCCACCAGGTGGGTGTGGATCTGCTGTGGGCTCATTCAGGGTAAAAGAGGTGTTGGGGAGGGGGTGTTTGGTGCCCTGCAGGGATGGAGAGGCTTCCTTGGGCACAGGTCAGCAGGCAAGGCAGTGCCCACACCCTACAGAGCCCCCAAACCATTTAGGCTGGGAAAGCTCTCTGAGGAGGGATCCTTGATGGTAGGAAAACCCGTAGAGCACAGAGGTTTTTCAGGGTGAGTATTTTACTTGTGGGGCTGGGAGAAATTCCTTTCTCGAGGCACTGGAAGGCAGCACCCTGAGCTAAATGTGGTGTGTCCAGTGATTTTGTTTCTAACCAGAGCACGAAGCATCACGCTTGAAGGAGCAGTTTTAGGAAGGAGCATAAAATTTGCTTTATAATGGTCTGGTTTTCTTTCCTCCAGCTCTTCTCTCTCCTCAGTAAGGTCTCCTGCCTTCATAAGTCCCCCAGAGGGCACTTCCATCCTCTTTGGCCCAGGCAGAGTGCTCGGGAAGGTGTGGTGGCTCCGAGGGTGGCTCAGGGCACAGGTGGCTCATCCTGGAGGGCTCACTGGCCACGGCCATGAAGGGGGACAAGCTGTAGGGCGAGGTGGCTGCACAGCTGGGGGAGTAGTGAGCATCTTCAAGGGGGTGCAGAGGGTAGGGCTGGGCTCCAGGGAGGGCTGGGGTCCAACCTGAGCCTCGGAACGGGGCAGCAGCTCCAGATTCAGGCAGGGAGAGGCAGCTGGAGGTGGCAGGGAGCGGCTGCAGAGGCTCTGAGCAGGCACTGCCAGGCTGGCTGAGGCTCTCGGGTGAGGGCTGCTCCCAGGGCTCTCTCTGCAGGGAAACAGGGAGAGAAGGCAAGGAAAACACTTAGGAACAAAAGCCTGTCATGAATGTAATGGAATATCCATCCCTAGGAATGCCCAAAGGGTTTCTGTGGCTCTGGAGCAGTATTTGGTGTTTGAAAGGGAACCTCCATCCTGGCAGTAATGTTTGGTGTTTGAAAGGGAACCTCCATCCTGGCAGCAATGTTTGGTTTTTGAAAGGGAACCTCCATCCTGGCAGTAATGTTTGGTGTTTGAAAAGGAACCTCCATCCTGGCAGCAATGTTTGGTGTTGGAAAGGGAACCTCCATCCTGTCAGTAATGTTTGGTGTTTGAAAGGGAACCTCCATCCTGGCAGCAATGTTTGGTGATTGAACTGTGAAAGGGAACCTCCATCCTGGCAGTAATGTTTGGTTTTTGAAAGGGAACCTCCATCCTGGCAGCAGTGTTTGGTGTTTGAAAGGGAACCTCCATCCTGGCAGCAGTGTTTGGTGTTTGAGCTGTGAAAGGGAACCTCCATCCTGGCAGCAGTGTTTGGTGTTTGAGCTGTGAAAGGGAACCTCCATCCTGGCAGTAATGTTTGGTGATTGAACTGTGAAAGGGAACCTCCATCCTGGCAGTAATGTTTGGTTTTTGAAAGGGAACCTCCATCCTGGCAGCAGTGTTTGGTGTTTGAAAGGGAACCTCCATCCTGGCAGCAGTGTTTGGTGTTTGAGCTGTGAAAGGGAACCTCCATCCTGGCAGCAATGTTTGGTTTTTGAAAGGGAACCTCCATCCTGGCAGCAATGTTTGGTGTTTGAGCTGTGAAAGGGAACCTCCATCCTGGCAGCAGTGTTTGGTGTTTGAGCTGTGAAAGGGAACCTCCATCCTGGCAGCAGTGTTTGGTGTTTGAGCTGTGAAAGGGAACCTCCATCCTGGCAGCAGGGCCTGGAGCAGGGTCCCTGTAGGACTGACCAGATCCTACAGGATCCAGGAGCTCTGTGGTGGGGCTGTGAGTGGAGCTGGGATAGGGAGCCTGGAGTCACCAAGGGCTGTTTCTAGAAACTCAGGGAAGGAGAATTTCATAAAATCATGGAATCACAGAGTTATCCTGAGTTGGAAAGGACCCAGCAGGATCATCAAATCCTGCTCCTGGCCGTGCACAGGCCGCCCCAGCAATCCCAGCCTGTGCCTGGGAGCCGTGGCCCGTTCAGAGCAGAATGGGATGTCTCCAGGGATGTCTCCAACAGGAACAAGGGACAATTAGATGGAACCAAAGAGAAAAACCCTCCCCGCAGAGCCCAGCCCCACCTGCCACGGCTGCTCCTGTAACAGCCACACCCTTCCCCCACGAGTCCCCCTGACTGAACCCCACATTTAAAGGGGGTGACCCTCCCAGGGGGACAGAAGCACGGAGGCACTCACGAGCAGGAAGTGCCCCGTGTCGTTGGGGAAGGATGGCAGGAGAGGGGGCACGGCCGGAGCGCTGAAGAAGGAGCTGGTGGCAGCTGGGACAGGAGGAGCACGGTGATCCCCGAACTGCTCGCTGAGATAGGGCTCCAGGAGGGCTGGGTAGCCCTGGGGGGCAGAGGGGTCACACGGGAAGGGTTTGGAGCCCAGAGGGGAGGGATAGGCATCGCTGACAAACTGCTTGGTGCTGTGGAAATCCAGCTCGGCCGGGAAGGATCTGCGGACGCCGTAGTAACCAGCCGTGGTGGGTGAGCCTGGGGACAGAAAAAAGAGTGGAAAGTGTAAAGAAAATTCTAACAGCTGCCACAGAATGATGGACACCCCTGTGGGTGCAAAGCAGAGCTCTTTTCTCTCCAGCATCACCCAGGAGCCCACCCTGCCTTGACACAGGTGTGTGAGCCCAGAGGTGCTTTTGGTTCCACCTGGTGACTCCATCTGCAGCAAACCAAAAGTGTTGGGGAAGCTTTAAATAGGAGGGCAGGGAGATGGAGGTCAGCTCAGCCAGGCTGTGCTTCCTCCTTGCTCTGCTCCAGGCCCTGGGGAGGAGGTTCCAGCCTCACTCTGCTTTCCCTGCCCGAGAGCCAAGGGATAAAACAGGTCAGCTCCTGGTTTTGTGCTTTTTCTCTCCAGCTCCAGGGAAAATGGGAAAACACAGGAGGAAAAGGAGGGATTCTGTATGGCTCCTCTGCTAAAGGAGGTGGGAACTGCTTTAATTACTCTCTTTGAGGATTTTATACATTATTGCTGTTCTTTTTTTTTGATTCTTTTAATTACTTTCCTCCTGGGCTCCCTCTGAGGGGTGGCCCCGCTCTGGGGCTTGTTTCACATCCTCTGGAGGAGGACAGAAGGGCTGTGCCAACCCTCCCACCTGCATGGAAGGTGTTTAGCACTGGAGGGAAAACCTCACCTGGCATTTGGCCAAAGGGTGACGGTGCTGTGCTGGTGCTGCCCTGCAAAAGATAAAGAGATGTTTGAAAGAATGACTTTTCAAAGCAAGGCAGCTCTCTGAGTGGAATTCACACACATTATTTGAGCCTGGGTGCTGTGAAGGGTTTAACTCCACGATTTCCTCACAGGAATTAACAGATGTAGGCTAAGCAGAGATTGTGAAGGTCTTGTGCAGAGCTGCTGAGAGGAGGAGTATCAAGACAACTGGCTTCTTCCTCCTGTCCCACAGGGTCCCTCAAAGCAGGCAGAACGCTGAGGAGTCTTTGGGTGTTGGCACAAACCAGGCAAGGTGAGATCTGAGCCCTTGAGTGGCCAAAATGGGCAGATTCCAGCCCATGTTCCAGCTCAGCTGTGCTGGGTCTGCTGCCCCAGGGCTCCTTTACCTGCCCCTTCCTGGCAGGCTGGGTAGAGAGTTCCTAAATCCTCTTTGGGTCCTACAGCAATGATTATGACAATAATAATTATATTATTAATCATCATCCTCTCGTCTTGGTCCCCAGGTAAAGGAGAATTACCCCTGGAGTGACCCTGGTGCTCCCAGTGCCTAATTCCTTACAAAGCACCCTGGCAAGGCATCTGCTCCTCTGGAATCCCACTGAGCTCTGGTTTGGGGAGCTCCAGGCCCCCAGAGCAGGAATAGAGAGCCCCCAGCTGCACTGCTGTCACTCTGCTGTCCCTGGCCATGCTGGTGGCACGCTCTGTCCAGTTTGCATAGTGCAAACAGGAGGTTCCTGCCATAGCAGGCAACCAAATTTAGAGGTTTAGATTTGAATTAAATTTGCCAGCACTGAGGACTTCCTTCTACAGCAAGGGAAGGTTTGCAGCTGCTCCCTGCTCCACCATGGAAATGAGCTCTGAGCCTGCACAGGCCACACGGGCTGCAGAGGTGGCAGGAGGTGACAGGAGGTGTCAGGAAGGAGCCCTGGGCTTGTGGACAGAGCAGTGTCCTTGTCACACAGGCAGGGCTTGCACCTGTCCCCAGCTGAAGCCATCACATGCAAATCCAGGTCACTTTTAGAGGAAAAAGCCAAGCTGGGAGGGTCAGGCAGCACAGATGCTGCCCAGAGGACACGGGGCTGCGGGGATGGGAGCTGGGATGCTCTGCCCAGCTCCCTGGCACGGCTGGCAGCCTCCAGCAGGGATCATTTCCAGTCAGCACAACATTTACTCTTTGATCCTGTCTGTTCAACAGCTACTGGAACTGCCTGGCTGTGTGTACACACCTGTGGGGGAGAGTCCCAGAGGTGCCAGGAGCTACCAGGGCTTCACCTGCCTGAATTCAGAGCAGGAGCCTCTGCTGCAACCCATCCTTGGCCTCATCAGAGCAGAGCCCGGCATTTCATTCCCATCCTTGCTCCTTATCAGCCTTAATTGAGACCCATTAGTTCATTTCCTCCCTGCAGTGCTTCCTTTCCCTGCCATGGGAATGGGGAGCCTGGATCTGCTGCAGCTCTGCTCAGCCTCCCTGGGGCCCAGAGCGTGTCCAGCTGTTGATAAGCTGGGCTCAGCCTGCCCTGCCTGTGGCCAGGCACAGATCCTGCCTGGGATTGCTCCAGAGAGCTCTGCTGCTTCACTGCCTCCTAACTCGCCTACAAATCTGCCTAAATTTAAGGATCCAGCTCCAAATAATGACCTGGCCCTGCCCTGTGGCAATGTTTTGGCTTCAGGGCATCCCCTCTCTGGGCCCAGTCTGTGGTGGAGCAGCTGAAGGAATAAAAATCCTCCATAAAAGCAAAGCTGAGGCTGGGCAGGGCAGTGCTGGCTGTGAGTCCCTGCTCTGGGAGTGCTGCTGGGCACTCAGCAATGAATCCTCTTTAAACCACAGCACAGCACTGCTTCACCTGTGCAGGCACCCCCTTCCACACCTCAGAGAAGACAGGAATCCTTCCACCCTGCAGAGGACACCTGCAGGTTCACACCTGTGCAAAGGAAAAACCAGAGCCTCCCTAAAGCTCAGCCCTGAGCGCTGCAGTTGGTGCAGAGCCCTGATTTTGGGGGGGTTTCCTCACAGCACACCCTGATTTCCATCACTCCGTGTGTGCAGGGCCAGGAAATTGTCGAAACCTCATCCCAAAGCTCTGCTCTGCTGAGCCCTGACCTCCCCAGCTCAGCACAGCCTCCTCCAGAGGCCTCACACCAACAACAGCTGAGGGCTGGTTCATTTCTGGAGCAAAGATCACCCTCAAACACAAGATGCAGCTAAATTACCCTGCATCACCAACAGCCAGAGGGGTGTTCAGTTATCTGCCCCTGGCTTTGATTCTGGGTTGTTTTCTGAGTTATATTCTGCCAGACAAACAGAGCTGCGCTTCCAGCTGCCCTTTTCATCATACGTCCGAGCAAATACGGATGTTTGCCCTGCACAATCACTTTTTGTCTCTCGCAGGGAATGAGCAGCAGGGCTGGTTTTTCATCAGGTACACACACACAACTGCTGGGCTCTGCAGCACAAAGCCAAGGGCAATAAAGCAAGGAGGATTTTACACTCCCAGGGCGTTTCCACTGTGGCTGTTGAAGCTGCCACCTGCACAGAGGGAGCAGGTCAATGGTGATAGCACCAACAGGAGCTGTTTTCTCAGCTGCTTCCTAAGAACTCTTCCTAAATACCTGCCTGCTGGGCCTGTGTCCTCCCCAGTGCCTCTTCTCCATGGCTCAGGGGGCTTCTGCCTGCCTGCAGCAGCTGGAGCCTGTGGGGATGGATGTGTGGCTGGATTTTGCTGGGTTTGGTGATGCCCAATCCTGTTCTGTTGTTTTTTTGTCCTGACTGTTTTGTTGCAGAGTTAATAGGCCTGAAAGTCACAGCAAGTAAGTCCCTGTGAGGCCTCTTCAGCATAAAAAAAAGCTCCAGAGATGAATGGTTTTGGGGAAAAAAGCATCAGCACTCCAAATTTCTCCCTCTCTCTCCTTGCAGGACACAGCTCCAGCTCCCCCTCCTCTGCCAGTGTCCAGCTGGAGGTGAGGAGCTGCTGCCCAGCAAAGGTGAGTGCCAGCAGCAGCCAGGGAAGGGCTCCTCGTGCCACTGGATGCCACCACATCCTGCCATCAAAATATTGTGTCCCCTTCTGGGGACAGCCTCGCTTTCTGGCTGGCAATTGAGGAATAAAAAACAATGTAGTGCAGCAGGACTTGGGTTTCCTGTTGCCATAGAAGCACTTTAAGAGGAAATCATCTCTTCCAAGCTGATGCTTGGCCTCTTTCCAGCCCATCACATCCCTGCAGCTCCCCTGGCACCCTGAGAGGAGCTGGAAGGAGCTCAGCATTCGGGGAAGAACAGATATTTTCAGGGCACTGACTTGTCCAAGTGTAGCTGGTGGAAAAGGAAGTTGACTCAGGAAGGTGTCACAGTAGGATGTGAAAGGAAAAAGGAATTTAACATCACTGCCATGCTTGAAAAGTGGGAGGGAAAAAAGGGCTTTGAGGCATTTAAGGTTGACAGATATGAAAATCAAGGAACCATCAGTGATGTTTTGGGGCATTATATTAATTATATTAATATCGGCAGTGCCCCAAACTCTCCTTAAAGCAGAGGGTGGGATGACTTTATGGGGTTAAAAAAGGGGGTGGGGGACGGACGGGACTCACGCTGAAGCGGGAGCCGCTGCTCTGCCGGGATCGCTTCTCAGCCAGGAGATCCTTGACCGTGTGCTTCACTCGCACTCCTTGGTACACCCGTTTGCCAAAATCTGCAGGGACTGAGGGATTGCAGAGTTCAGGGAAAGCACAGAGCAGCAAATTCATCACCTCTGTGCATCGGGTTGGGAGGGAAAAATACAAGTCTGCAATTCTTAGATTTAGAAATGTAGAAATATTTGTAATCTAGACATATATATATTTCAAGATATAGAAATTATTATCTATATAAAATCTATTCCCACATATAGAGAGAAAATATAGAAAATATCTTTTAAATATAAAGATATACATATATTGATACTATTAATATGAATAAAATATTATGTTGATATTAATAGAATATTGTGTTAAATATATTAAATATATTTAAATTATGTTAAATGTAGTAATTGTAATAAAATGTAGAAAATATATAGGAATATAGACATATTTCCATATATAAAATATATAGCAATATAGAAATATTTCCATATATGAAATATATAGAAATATAGAAATATTTCAGTGCAGAAAATCATCCCTTAGGACCTGACAGCGAGAGCAGAGCAAAGCCTGCTGTGTCCTACCCTCTCCATGCAGATCCCTCTCTGCCTGCTGCTTTTGGGCTTCTGTTTTTGCAAAGGGAACCCCCCGTGTCCCCTTTGGCTCAGTTCATTTCACTGATATTTCAGCACAGGGGTCGTGGCTCAGCCCCTGCTGCCTCCCAGCACAGCTCTGATCCAGGGAATGCCCTGGGGATGGATGGATGGATGGATGGATGGATGGATGGATGGATGGATGGATGGAGAGGCTCCTGTGAGCCTCCAAAGGAGAAAGGAGCTGCCTGCCCAGCCTGTTTTGTATCCAGATTGTTGGGAAGGGTCCGTGCCGTGGCACCTGCAGGGACTGGCTCTGGTTTTTAGCCCTGGAGCACAGCACAGCCAAAACCAGCTCTGGGTGGCTTTGCCACGAGGCATCTGCCCTCCCCCTGAGCCTGGAGTGAATTTTGGGATCTGTGTCAGTTGTGGCACAGGTGAGAGCTGAGGGACAATGCAGGGACAGCTCTTTTATCCTGCCTGAACCCAGCTCGCACCTGCGGAGCCAGGGAGGACTTTCCATGTGGCTTTTCTTGAATTATCCCGGAAAAAACCTCCCTGCCTTTGAAGCTAATCCCTTGGAAAACACACAGGCACGCTCTCCTGAGGGAGAGCAAACTGCCAGGGCACAGCTGATGTGTTTGATCTCCAGGATTTCTCATTTGGCTCTTCTGCCCCTCAGGATGTGTCCCTTGGCTCGGTTTCTGGTGGCATTGTGGCCCCAGGTGCACACACACACACCAGGGGAGGTGAGAGGGTTTAAACAGCTTGGCCTTGCCCCACATGTTTTGATTTTTTTTTATTTTTGGGACTGTAGCAGCTGCAAATTTCAGCAAGTGGAATTTTATTTTGGTGTTTGAGTGCTGACCAGAGAGCTTCAGCCAAGGTCAGGCACAAAGCAAACACAAAGCAAGGGAGAGATTCCCAAAAATGAGGTGAAGATGAGAGCACCAAAAAAAAAAAAAAAAAAGCAACAAAAGTGGCCAGAAATGGACATCAGCTCTCACAGGTGGAGGAATTCCAACAGGTCTGGTGCTCTGAGGTTTCCTGACACCTTTGCTGTGCCCTGAAGGCATTAGGAAAGCTCCTCCACACCCCTCTGCTGTTCTGGGCTGTTGAGATCGCTTCACTCACATCCTCACTTATTCCTCCACCCAAATTGTTTTAATTCAGCAACACTCAGCCCTCTGACCCTGGGCTGAAGGTGTCACACAACTGAACTTGTTGCTGCCAGTGGATTATCCAGAGACATCTGATGCTGAGCTGTCAAAACTTCAGATAACTCTGCCACTGGCAGAAGATTTTCTTCCCACTGGGGAAGAAAATGCTAATTCAGGCCCGAGTTTCTATCATTTCCAAGCAAATTGAATCCAATTTCACATCACTTTGATCTAACTGCCTTTTGAAAAAAAAATAAAAAATAAAGCATTGCACTGTGAAGGAATATAAATTCAGTCTGGAGAAGGCAGAATATGAATTGATACTATTAAATTCTTGGGACATTTAAGATGTCACATGTCTATTCTAGATAAATTTTTGTGGGTTTTTTTTTCCAAAAGGAGCCCAAGGACAGCACAGTTTGTTCCTTCCCTGATATTGCCATGAAGATGCCTCAGCTTGTGAAGATCTGAGCTGCTGGAACTCACCTGTTTCCATTGTTGGTGCTGCTGACGAGTCCCAGCTCCCAGATCCTGCAGGAATTTGGGGAAGATCTGTCCCTCATCAGCTTCCCAGAGCAGAGTGAAGCCTGTGCTCATAATTCCCTGGGAAAGTCCCAGCTGAGCCTGGCGGAAATGGGTTTTCTAGAATTTAGGGATGTCTCCAGCACCATACATCGTTTGGGATTTGCTTAAATGCAAATCCCTGGATCTGTGTTTCACTCCACTTTGCATGGTCAGTGTGGGTCCTTCCCCAGGAGCCTCCTTCCTCTCTGAGCTGACATTTCATGGCTGAAAACCAGAGGGGAAAGGAAAGGAAAGGAAAGGAAAGGAAAGGAAAGGAAAGGAAAAGGAAAGGAAAGGAGAAAGGAGAAAGGAGAAAGGAAGCTCCTGACCCACACTAAAGGTTCTGGTGGCCACAACTGCTGTGGCCACTCCTCTGTGGGCAGCAAGACCTGGTTGTGCAATATCCTGATGCCTTTGGGGCTACCTAAAACCAGAGGCCAGGCAGAATTAAGGGAATAAAAAGCAGTTCTATTTATTGAAGGGCCTTCAAGTACATTTAGGGCAGACAAAACCCACCCAAAAATGGAGAATTTGTCACGGGTTTCACACTTTTATAAGTTTGGTCCATTTGCATTTTGGGGGTCAATCTGCCAATTCCAGCTTCAGCCAATGAAGTCATTGACCCCAAGTTTGCTCCCCCAACTCCCTTTTGTTTCCATCTCTCAGGCCTGAGGCAGTGAGGTGTCCTTGACTGCCAGGCCTGGAGAGGAATTGTTGTGTCTGCCCCAAATGGGGAAGCAGCAGCTCCCACTGTGTGTGGAGTTTGGAGTTCTGCACTAAAGAACTGCAGGTTACAAATAGAGGAAAAATATAAAAATCCTAAGGCATCAATCCCAATCAATGAATCAAAACCTTCAAACCAAAAACCAAAAAGAAACATTGATCCTGTTTTATTTAAGGATGTAGGACACATTTTATGGTGCAAAAGGAAAGGATCCATCCCAGTTTATTCAAGGATGGAGGATAAGTTTTATTGTGCAAAAAACAAGGATCCATCCCATTTATTTCTCTCTTTTTACAGGGTTTTTAAAGACCATCCCATGTCCATCAGTAGCAAGCTGTCACCCTGTATTTATTGCTCACCCAAACCCCCAGTGTGTACATGCAGAAAAAAGTTGTTTGTGAGAGATAATTTCATTTTTCTGACCGTGTAAAAACAGTTTATACAGGTAGCTAGTGTTTACCACAGCCCTAGAGCCCTTCCTCAGAGAAAATCATGTTGTTTTCCTCAATCCCAGAGCTCTTTCTCAGGGAACAAAAGAATTAAGGGAATAAAAAGCAGTTCTATTTATTGAAGGGCCTTGAAGTACATTTAGGGCAGACAAAACCCACCCAAAAATGGAGAATTTGTCACGGGTTTCACACTTTTATAAGTTTGGTCCATTTGCATTTTGGGGGTCAATCTTCCAATTCCAGCCTCAGCCAATGAAGTCATTGACCCCAAGTTTGCTCCCCCAACTCCTCCATCTCTCAGGCCTGAGGCAGTGAGGTGTCCTTGACTGCCAGGCCTGGAGAGGAATTGTTGTGTCTGCCCCAAATGGGGAAGCAGCAGCTCCCACTGTGTGTGGAGTTTGGAGTTCTGCACTAAAGAACTGCAGGTTACAAATAGAGGAAAAATATAAAAATCCTAAGGCATCAATCCCAAACAATGAACAAAGCCTTCAAACCAAAAACCAAAAAGAAACATTGATCCTGTTTTATTTAAGGATGCAGGACACATTTTATGGTGCAAAAGGAAAGGATCCATCCCAGTTTATTCAAGGATGGAGGACAGGTTTTATTGTGCAAAAAAACAAGGATCCATCCCAGTTTATTTCTCTCTTTTTACAGGGTTTTTAAAGACCATCCCATGTCCATCAGTAGCAAGCTGTCACCCTGTATTTATTGCTCACCCAAACCCCCAGTGTGTACATGCAGAAAAAAGTTGTTTGTGAGAGATAATTTCATTTTTCTGACCGTGTAAAAACAGTTTATACAGGTAGCTAGTGTTTACCACAGCCCTAGAGCCCTTCCTCAGAGAAAATCATGTTGTTTTCCTCAATCCCAGAGCTCTTTCTCAGGGAACAAAAGTTATTTTTCCCTGCTGCAGAGTTCTCACAAAGAGCTGTCAGCTTCTCCTGGCTTCAGTGGGCCCCAGGCAGGATTCAATTTGCAGGCTTTTGGCTGCTGTTTCACAGCAAAATTTCCCCACAAATTCAGCCTCTCACGTGGCCTTGCCTTCCTGGGGAAGGGTTTGTGTTTTTTTTTTAGTGTAATTATTTTTTAAGTGTAATTATTCTTTTCTCTTTGGAGGAAATGAAGAAGCACCGAGAGCAGCAGCTGGCCAAGGCTGTGTCTGGGCAAGGCAGGTCTGGAGCAACACCCCGAGCAATTCCCAACGTTTGTAACCTGGAGAACCCCCCAGGTTCCCTGCCAGCTCAGGACTGGGAGGGCTCCACACCAGCAGCACTCCAGCCCCTGTGTGCAGAACCTTCTCCACCGTGTGGATGGATTTTTATATAAAAATATCTCTCATTTTTGGCCTTTCCGTTCTTTTCCTGGTGTGGGGGGTTTGGCTGGCAGGTAACAGAAGGTTCAGGAAGCACCAGGTGGAAAGTGGCACAAAAAGGAGCTGGTTTTGCTCTGTCAGCAACGGGCTGCGTTTGCCAGCTGTCCCCTGGCACCTCCTGGGCTGGAAATTGCTGTGAGGACATTCAGGTTAAATCCCCATCCCGTGGCTGCTCCGTGCAGGTGTTTTCTGTGCTGCCTGCAAAGCAATTCCACTGAAAACGGGGAGAGGACAAAAGCTCAGCCAGGCTTCTTTGAGATGAGAAACCTCTTACCTGGTGTTTCCTTTTCAAAAATCACCACACCCACATTTTCTGGGTAGTTTGGTGGAGTTGGGCACGTGTTTTCCATTGACACAGGGCAGAGCTGGGGCTGTGGTGGGATTTGCAGAAGCTCTTGTGGTTGGCACGACACGCTCTGGGCACGTTCTGTAGAGCACCTTTCAAAAAGGGCTTTAAACCTTTTCAACCCCTTTTAAAAAGGGGGTTTGAACCCTTAAAAACCCTTCTAAACCCTTTTAAAAAGGCATTTACCTGTGCCAAAGCAAACTTCGGGAATTGTGCCTGTGCTTTGTGTAGCAAACCCCTGGAGCAGCAGCTGGGGCAGTCAATGTTTATTTAATTCCATCTGATGAAGGAGCAGAGAGAATTTGTGGCATTATCTCACAACAAAGAGCTGCAGAACTGATGTGGTTGGTGTTCAGTGTTGGCTGAATCAAGCCAGGGGTGGGTTTTCAGTGTGAGGACTCGTGTTTAAGCACGGAATTGTTCCGGAAGCACCAAAAATTAACTGGGAATGGTTTGGTTTGGAAGGAACCTTAACACTCACTCCGTTCCACCAGACACCTTCCACTACCCCAGGCTGCTCCAATCCCCGCCAACACCTTGGACACTTGCAGGGATGGGCATCCAGAGGTTCTTTCCAGCGCGGAGCGCTCGCAGGCCCGGCCTTTCCCCAGCCCCGGCCGGGATCTGACGCTGCCATTACCCGGGGCCCTAAACAGCCCGGGAACCTCCGTGCCGCACCGCTGCTTCCCGCCGGGGCCTCTCGCCCGCCGCGCGCTGGCAGCGCGTTCCTGCGCTGTGATTGGCGGCCGGGCGGGCGGCGGCCGCTGTGATTGGCGGGCGGGCGCGCGCGGTGCGTCGCGTTCCGGTGCCCCCCGCGGGGCAGAGGCGGCCGGCGGTGGCGGCGCCGCTCTGCCGAAGCCCGCGGGTCCCGCCGGGCTCGGGGCCGGTTCCGGGCGGTGTCGGGAGCCCCGGGCGGCTCTGCAGCAGCCCGGCCATGCCGCCGGGCCGTGCGGGCGGTAAGGCGGCCGTGGTGCTGCAGTGCGAGTGGCAGCGGTGCTCCTTCGTGGCCTCGGAGATGGAGGAGTTCTGCGGGCATGTGGCGCAGCACCTGCAGCAGCACCTGCCGGGCCAGCAGCGAGGCGACATGGACCCTCTGGGTGAGGGGAGAGGGAGGCTCAGGAGGGCCCTTGTGGCTGGGCACGGCTCCCTGACAGGAGGGGACAGCCGGGGGGGGTCGGGCTCTGCGCCAGGGAACAACAGGACAAGGAAAATATCCTGGAGTTGTGCCCGGGGATGTTCAGCGTGGACATGAGGGGGATTTCTCCATGGAAAGGGTGCTCGGGCCTTGGCAGGGGCTGCCCAGGGGGGTTTGGAGTGCCCGTCCCTGGGGGTGGCACTGAGTGCCCTGGGCTGGGGACAGGGAGGGGATGGGCACAGCTGGGACTCCATGGGCTGGGGGGATGCTCCAGCCTAAAAAACTCCGTGGTTTTCTGCCCAGAGAAAGCTTCTGGCCTTTGTTCTGCTCTCCCTGGGCAGAGCAGGGCTGGGTGTCAGGAAAACACGGGTGGTGTTTGAGCTGCACCAGCTGGGCTGGGCTTGGGGGATAAAGGGACTCGGGGGGCACCTTCGAGCTGTGGTGCAGGAGAGGGCTGGGCTGCAGAGGAGCAGTTTGAGTTGCAGAGTAGCTGTCTGTCTGTGCTCCAGAGGAGCTGTCAGTCTGTCTGTCCGTGTCCAGAGCAGCTGTGTGTCTGTCTGTCCCAGAGGAGTACACGTGCCTGTGGCAGGACTGTGGTTTCTGCTCCCCGGAGAGCTCGGCCGACCTGGTGCGCCACGTCTACTTCCACTGCTACCACACCAAGCTGAAGCAGTGGGGGCTGAGGGCCCTGCAGGCCCAGGCTGACGTCAGCCACTGCCAGCTGGACTTCCAGAGCAGGAACATCATCCCTGAGATCCAGGAGGACTTCCTGTGCCTCTGGGAGTACTGCGAGGTGAGAGCGGGTGTGCATTTGTGGGGCGCCCGCGTGAAGGGAGGAAGGATGGATCTGACTCCATCTTCTCAGAATTGATTAAGATATTACATTATATTATATTATATTATATTATACTAAAGAATACAGAAAATGTACTTACAGAATGCTAAAAAGATAATAATGAAAACTTGTGACTCTCTCCAGAGTCCGACACAGCTTGACCCCAATTAGCAAATAAGTCAAAACAATTCACATGAAACCAATGAAGCAATCACCTCTTGGTAAACAAACTCCAACCACATTCCAAAGCAGCAAAACACAGAGAAGCAAATCAGATAATTCTTGTTTTCCTTTTTCTCTGAGGCTTCTCAACTTCCCAGAAGAATCCTGGGCAAAGGGATTTTTCCAGAAAATATGACTGTGACAAGGAGGGGCTCACTGGGAAAGGGGAGCTGCTGGCTCTGTCTGGAGCTGTGTGGGAGCATCTGGAATTGTCCTTGTCTCTCTCACCCTGCCCTGTGTGTCCTTGCCCCCTCAGAGGTCGTTTGACAACCCCGAGTGGTTCTACCGGCACGTGGAGGATCACAGCTTCTGCTCCGAGTACAAGGCAGCAGGGAAGGAGAACCACGTGCTGCTCTGTGGCTGGAAAGGTTTGTGGGAGCCTGCAGGGCTTCTCCTGAGAGCTTTGGGCTGGGTGGCAAACATGGGAACAGGTTTCAGAGAGCCCTTTAGCCTTCAAAAAGAGGTTTTCAAATTTCATGGTTTTGACAGTGAAATATTCCTGCAGAAGTTCACTCAGTTGAGTGCTCAGACAGAACTTCCTATTTCTGTGTAATCAGTACCTTGGAGAAAAGGTTGCTTTAGTTTGATTTTGATTTTTTTCATTAATTTCCCCTGTGTTTGTGCAATTGCCCTTGCAGCTTGGGGGGCTCACACTGGTTGTACTCTGGCAGGACCAGTACCACACTGGTGATTTTACAATATCACCATGCTGATCTCACCCTGCTCTCTGGGGATTTTGGAGCTTTGCTGGCCAAAACAAGACGAGGAAGCTGCTATTCGGTGAGGCTGTGTCCCTTGGGAGGTCTCTGAGCTCTGCTGTTCCCTCCCCAGACTGCAACTGCAGCTTCAAGGGCCGCTGCAAGCTGCGGGAGCACCTGCGCAGCCACACGCAGGAGAAGGTGGTGGCCTGTCCCACCTGTGGGGGGATGTTTGCCAACAACACCAAGTTCTTCGACCACATCCGCCGCCAGACCGCCCTGGAGCGTAAGGCCTGGGGCAGGGAGGGGCTGGGGACTGCTGGCCTGGGATGTTGGGGTGGCTGGAGGTGCCTGTGCCCTGTGAGCCAAGGGAGGGGTGTGCTTGGAACAGCCTGGATTGTCTGCTGAGTGATGGCAGCTGCAGAATTCCAGAATCGTTTAGACTGGAAAAGACCTCTGAGATTGAGTCCAGCCCATGAGTGATCCTCACCTTGTCAGCCAGCCATGTCCTGAGCAGGGGTAGGGACTCTCCCACCTCCCTGTGCAGCCCCTTCCAGCATCTGACCATCCTTTCCATGAAGAAATTCCTCCTGAAGTCCCAGCTGCACCTCCCCTGGCCCGGCTTGAGGCCGTGTCCCCTGAGAAGTGTCTCCTGGCAGAGGCAGGATGGAGGCTGTTCCTCCTGTGGGGACCCAGGGCTGCACAGCAGCGTTTCCAGCCCCCTGGACCACCTCTCCTCACTGCTCTCTGTGCTGTTCTCCCTGCCCTGGTCTCTCCTGTGCCCTCCCTGCCCCCTGGTGCAGAGCAGAGGTTTCAGTGCTCCCACTGCTCCAAGAGGTTTGCCACCGAGAGGCTGCTCCGCGACCACATGAGGAACCACGGTGAGTGAAGGGCCCTGCTGCCAGCTCAGCCCCCTGGGCTGCGTGCTCTGCCCTGCTCTGGGGTGACATTTCTCCCCGTTTTTGGCCCAGTGAACCACTACAAGTGCCCCCTGTGTGACATGACCTGCCCGCTGCCCTCCTCGCTGCGCAACCACATCCGCTTCCGGCACAGCGAGGAGCGCCCCTTCAAGTGTGACTACTGTGACTACAGGTGAGGGCCCTGTCCCCAGACCTCCCAGAGGCCTCTGTGTGTGTGTGTGTGCTGCAGCTCTGTTCCCTCACCTTGTGCTTCCAGCTGCAAGAACCTCATTGACCTGCGGAAGCACCTGGACACGCACAGCAAGGAGCCGGCGTATCGCTGCGAGTTCGAGGCCTGCAGCTTCTCTGCACGCTCCCTCTGCTCCATCAAACTGCACTACAGGAAGGTCCACGAGGTGGGAACTTGCACTGCTCGTGATGCCCCCTGTCAGTCTTCTCAGAGAAGTTTCTGTCTCCTTCCCTGCACGTGTGGGCCGGTGGGGTGCTGACGTCGCTCTCTGTGTCCCTCAGGGTGACTCCGAGCCCCGGTACAAGTGCCACGTGTGTGACAAGTGCTTCACACGGGGGAACAACCTCACTGTCCACCTCAGGAAGAAGCACCAGTTCAAATGGCCCTCGGGACATCCTCGCTTCAGGTACTGCTCACCTTCAGCTCCTCAGTGCCTCCTCTGCAGTGCACCCTGCGCTGTGCTGGCAGTGCCTGGGCTCTGGTGTCTGTAAATGTGTTCAAGACCCTTTTCCCAGTGGCTGGGAGGCACTGGGCAGTGAATGTTCTGTGGGATCTGAGCAGTGCTGGCTGGCAGCTCCAGGGCAGTGGTGCCATCGCTGCTGCCTCTGGTGGGGCACTTCTGAGCTTGGCAGGGACCAGGTCCAGGTGTTCTCCTCTAGAGAGATCACTTTCAGGACAGAATCCTCTGCTGCACACCCTGTAGGAAGCTCCAGAGGGTTTCAGAGCCTGAAAGCTGGGAGGGGAAGAGGATGGACTTGAAATGCTCCCAGTGCAGCAGAGTGGGGGAAGGAGATGGGCTGGGGAGGGATTGAGCCTGGCACAGAGCTCAGAATCTGCCACATGGGTGTGCTTTGGGAGCAGAGGCTGAAACACCATCTGTGCAGCACAGGGACCGAAAGCTTGGCTGTTGCCCATCTCCTGGGAGGGGAGTGTGCCTGGCTGACCCCTCCTGTCTGTGCCCAGGTACAGGGAGCACGAGGATGGCTACATGAGGCTGCAGCTGGTGCGCTACGAGAGCGTGGAGCTCACAGAGCAGCTGCTCAAGGACAGGGAGAAGCGTGGGGAGGCTCTGGATGGCTCCAGCGAGTGCCTGGTGCTGCCTGAGGGCGAGGGCAACCTGCAGGGCATCCTTCTGGAGCCTCCAGCAAACCCTGCCCCAGCAGAGAACGGCACATCAGAGCCGCCCGTGCCTCCAGCCTTGTGCTCTGCTCCCAGCCCTGAGCCAGCACGGCCCAGCCCCATGCCAGGAGCTTCCTCCTCCTCTTCCTCCTCCTCAGAGCAAGGAGCCAGCAGCACCAGCAGCCCCATCATCCGTGTGGTGAACAGGACCAACGAGCAGGGCCAGAGTGAGACTGTCTATTACGTGCTGGCCAGCACGGCCTCGGATCAGCAGGCCACAGCAGCCCCAGAGCTGGAGGAGAACGTCATGGACAGGCTGCAGAAAACAGCTGAGGAGCTGGGCATCCAGATCCTGTGAGGGGCTGCCCCTCTGCAGCAGGAGAGCTTCAGCCTCCTGGGGATGTGCTGCTGGGGGAGTGCTTGGGGACAGGGCTGGCTGCTGGTTCTGGTCAGCGTGGGGAGAGGGGAGGGACACATCCCCCAGGTGTGAATCAAGAGGAGTGCTTGGGGTCAGGGCTGGCTTCTGGTTCTGGTCAGCATGGTGGGTCAGCGTGGGGAGAGGGGAGGGACACATCCCCCAGGTGTGAATCAAGTGGTCTGAGCTGGAAGGAGCTGTCTGCCTCCTCCTTTTGGGGATTGAGGCCTGTCAAGCTTCTCCCACCCTTCTGGGAGGTTTGGCTTAGGCCTGGCAGGGTGGAGTGGTCACCAGCTGTGCCCTTCTGAGCCTGTTCCCCAGGCAGGATGGTGTGTGGAGCACACTGGTGCTGAAGCCTCTTCC